TTTGAAAGACATGCTTGCGCGCCCCCTCTTCACCCCTTTAATCTTCCAGTCTATAAACATCTTATTCAACGAAGGTTCAGTCCCAATCAAACCAACTTGAAAGACGTCCTAATTTTCCCAGCATTAAGTTCGAATGATTACGAATTAACAAAGCGTTTCAATGTGCCAGTTATAAAGCAAAGTTTCGAGATGTTTTCCAATACTCTTCGATGAAACGAATGATTTTTATAAAACCAAAACTATAGTAACATAAGAGTTTATTTGATCTCATTTAGTCAGCAATTTGACAATATTTCCAGGAATTACAGAGGAAGTGAACAGGTAATCAAAGAGAAAATAAATAAATTGTACTTTGGTGAGATATTATGAGTTTATTTACAATTGCGTGTTGTAATTAGGTACAGCTCCACATTGAGTACTGAGATTCGACCAAACAATTTGAAAAAGAAACTGTTGCCCACTAAACTATACATACAAACCAAAAAATGTACACACCTACACCACCCCTACTCTAGACTGGCGATGCTCCACTAGCTGCTGCTTCGGATACGGGAGAGCCGCTCTTGGATGATGACGTGCGATCAACGCGGAAGCCCGTTTGCTTGCCGATCACATACAAGTTACTTAGCGCGCTGTCCAAAGTTCCTAGAATGGAAAAAATTACCAGAATAGATATACGATGATTTCTCACCATCATTTTTCAGCTCTTCCCACTTTCTATACAACTTCAGCGCAACACGTGCGTCTTCTACGGAATCATGAATCCCATCTTGGATCTTTTCTCCTGCAAACAATTTCTAGAAGGAGTTTCTAAATTTTGACGTAGTAACATACCCAGCAGGTAGAACGCCAAAAACTGCAGTGAGATCAGCCGCTGTGGAACTTGCGGAATTCGGAACAGCTCTACCGTATCAATCATTTGCTTAGCAGGAACCTTAAATCAAAAATCGAAAATGACTTATTCCTTTACAATCCAAGTCTTACATAGATGTTGAGAGCAGAGAAATCATTGACGAGAGCATGTCCCACAAAAATACAACCTCGTTCAACTAGGTGCAATACTTTGAGATAAACACATTTCAGCGTTGTCAGATGCTTCGTTGACTTGCTTGGATCCAAGTCGTCTTTAATTATGCCACTAAACATAGATACTGTAAACAAACCTCGATTTTCAGGATGAGGGCAAGAGTTGGGTCTGTCTTACTGTCACTGTGTGAATGACACCTTCATTATATGAAACATCCAAATATAATCGCAAAATTGTAGTCTTTGTATATCTATTCCACCACCACCACCAAATCATTTTTTGAGCGCATTATGACCGTTCCAAGTACGAATTAGAAGTTTTGAAAGCGAATGTTTTTGCAACGGACCTGAACTGCGTGAGATAATCTTTCACCACGTCCCCTTCGCAAGTGACTACGTAATCGTCAATCAAAATCTGTTCTCCAGTCGAATCTACGCAACTCACACGTCCAACAGA